TGCTGAAATGTAATTTCACTGTGTATATTTCATAGTTCCTCATCTTAAAGAGCTAGAAGCTATAGAAAAGTGCTTTTAATATCTTAATTCTAAGTAAATTAATTATTTTCTTCAATAAAATGAGGATTCTTAGATCCTTAAGTTTGCTATGGATGGACTTTCACAAAGGAAATAACTAGCCTTGATCACCTGCAATTGTTTTCATCTAGACCCTCAGCTGGGAAGGGATGAATGAGTCATAGGGTCAAACTTCTTTGCCACCATGAGAGACAAAATGTATATAATCAGGCAGGTCTGTGGTGCCACCCCATAGTCAGAAATCACCCTCCTTTCTGCACTGATATTTTTTCCTTGGCACTGATATTTTTTCAGCTTTTGAAACAGTTTCATACTAATAAAAGAAAGAACCGTTGACTGTGAAAATGTTTTTTTCTAGATTGACATTATGAGTACCAACAGGAAAATAGCTCAAGTTTTGCCGAGCAGAAGTGGTTTGGAAGATACAAAGGAAGAAGAGATCTGATTCTGCTCTTTGATTAGTCAGGGAAAAGCAGATGCAGTACTGCTGAAATCAGTGAATTTAAACTTGAGTGAGATCACAGTCAACCCTAATGTGTTAAAGTGAGCAAGAGTTCATGTATAGCACAGTTTAAACAACCATCAAGTTTAGCTCCCAGGTAGAAATCCACCACTCCTGCATCCCAGAGTGGCTATCCTGCTGTGCAGGGATTACTTACTAAGCCTTTTTAGCTAAAAGAGATCTGGCAGGGAGTGTATAGACTGAAAGGGGCCAGGACAGGAGATGTAGAGGAAATTTTGTTTTCTGATCTATCCCCAATGACTCACAAATCTTTTCTATATAGAGCCTGCACCCAGAGAGAACAACCAAGGGTAAGAGATATACTTCTATTGCCATGTGCTGCCTGGGGCCCATGGCAATTTCCAGAAACAAAGCTAAGAAGCCTTGTGCCTTGTTTTCCTCTTACCATCCCTTTCCCCGATCTTTCTTTCCAGTTGTCTTACTGCTTTGACCTGTGCTGATCTCTGAGTGGTGATGGGATTGCTTACCCTCCTAACACTTTTCAAGGAGGTGCTGTGGGTCTTTCACCAGGGCCACTCTAGGGGAATAATTCTGGAGCCTTCATCAAATTCCAGATTTACATCATTAGATTACAACATTCTTCAAGCTGCTCATTTGTGATGGGAAAGGCTGAGAGTGGGAGGCTTGGCTCACGTTCAGAGCAGGCGATGCTCAATGGGACCAAACATCATTGAAGTGCTGGGATCATAGTACTGCTGGTACTTTTGTCGCAGGTGGAAGATACAGCCAAATGACTTCAGAAGCAATTATTTGCCATGTCAACATCCAAGGGTAGTGTACCTGCTATATGAAATCAGGTGGAGCAGAGGTACCATCTGGAGGAACTGGTGCTCAAACAATTCTACCCAACATGCTGAAGTCAACTTCTTGGAAAATTGTTTCAAGGCCATGCCATCAGTTCCTTGCTCCATCACCTGGGTCCTGTCTACAACCCCCTGTGGGAAATGCTCCAGAAGAATTCTGGAGTTCCTGAGGGTACATCCCAATGTGACCTTGGAAATATACGCAGCCAAGCTGTTCAAACACCTGGATATCCGTAACCGGCAAGGTCTCAGGAACCTGGCAAAGAATGGGGTCGTTATACGTATCATGAAACTTGCAGGTAACCCAACTACTCTTTGGCTTTGTCTAGGTATGGATTGCAAGTTCTGGGACTATGTGCACTCTCAGCAGTTGCGCCTTGTAATAGTGGTGATGACTGGCATTGGGGAGGACTAGTGAGTGCAAAAATGGCAGTCTCTTCTGCCTTATTTCTTCCTCAGTCCCATACAGCAGCAAGACCAGCATGGTCATTTCCTCTTGCCAAATCTGAATAAGGAGATTTATGTCTTTTTCTAGCCATCCATGCCTCCTTTATATACAGTGCAAAATCCTGAGCATAAGATAGAACCTATCCTTCCTAGCATATATGTGCAGATCAGCTTGCCAGCTGCAGTAATTGCTTTCCCTTGATAGCTGGAGAAGAGAAGGAGCTGTATCTAAAGGAGGCTTTCAGATGATGCATCACAGAGGACAATTGTGTCTTGCATGTGTGTCTTTTTGTATGTATATCTTCCTTGCCTGTTGATGTTTGGCTGTAAAAATAGTCCAGACAAGTAGCTCACAGAAAGGAATGTACATTTGAAGAGATGAATCTCACATACCTGTCTGGATACTTACTACTGGAGTGTGCAACTACAAAACCTACCAGCTCAAATGTAAACTTAAAGGGCATTGCTTGCCTTGAGGAACCTGTGTCTGGGATTATTTTACCAGAGCGTTGACAGAAGGTCTGGCCATCCTATCAACACTAAGATCAATATGAAACTGCTAAATGTTAAGGTATTCACTCCATGTTTTCCCTGATCATTGAGATAAGTCAGTCAGATTCATGACTGAAGCAACAAATTCATTGTCTTGCCCAAACCTGCTGTGATCAAGCACAAGGCTTTCAAAAGATATGCCTGAACAGCCCTGATTGCATGTGCCACTTCCCTTTACAGTCCCTCCCAAAGCAGCAGCCTGCCACTCACTGATTCCTTCTCCTCCCTTGGCCAACATGCTCTGGCTTTATGCCCTGATGTGCTATTTGTGATAGGGGTGGCCCAAGTTACCGTAGTGATCTCTCTCTCTCTGGCAATTCACCTTTTTAGACATATTGCTATTTGTAGAGTTTTGGTTCCCCTTTCCACTAACTTATTTGTGTAGTTGCAAGTCATTGTTGGTCCCTTGCATGAATACCCTCAGATAAACATCGTTCTCCTGCCCTTTGCCGTTGTCTTACTGAGAAAGAAGTGACACATGCATGACATACCATTCACTGACATATTCATGAAGAAAGAACTGGACATGCCTTTCATCAAGAGTGACTGGATATCTCTCTTTTCAGATTACAGTTACTGGTGGAAAAGATTTGTTGCATACCAACATGGAGAAGATGATTATTGGCCCTGGAGCTTCGCTTCATACATATTTCTGAATTGGATAGAGCTCTGTCATATCCTTTTGGTTAGTAGGCACTTGAAGAAAATGCTGAGAGTGAAAAGTAATGCAAAATCCTAGGAAAAGGAGACTTGGTGAATCCTAGCAATGGTATTAGCAGAAACAATAGTAAGAAAAATAAGCATGGGCTTGATACTGCATGAACAGAGGGCCAAGCGGGCAAGAGATTGCCAAGGACTGTGCTGCTACATTGTGCCTTCGTGGACAGGAGTAGAGAATAGATTTAGCAATACTCTCAGGTTTTTTACTAAGGAAAGGGTAAATTATTTCAACCCTTTACATGGATCAGCTACAAGTTTGTTAGCTTGCAGCTTACTGGAGCTATTTGATCCCAAAAGTTCATTCAGCTGTATAAACATGATTCAAGTACACTCTTTTTGCCTCTCAGGACAGGGCCACTGATTTTAGTTAAGTTCTGAGCAAGTTAAAAAATCCAGATGGGTGGATTCACTTTCAGGATCAGAGCTTACACATAAGAGTATCACATGACTGAGATCTGCATTCCCTATTTCTTGCAATCCATACAACTGCAGAAGTTATTTGTATGGCCTGATACCCTACTATACAAGAAAGAGGAGTTGGTCTACTGAACAGGAGAGAAGATCAGGACTGGAGTTAACTTCCTGGCTCAGCCACCCTTTGTGGGACAAGCCAGTTCTTGCTTGAACTGGTCCCTCTATGTAGAATGGGGGGTAGCAGAATGGACGGTGGGAGACAAAGGAAGGGATGCACAGAACTACATAATACAAACAGGAACTTAACGTCTAGACGGAGAAAAACTAACCTGTTTGTAGGATGCTATAAATGCCTTGTTTTATTTCTGACTGAGGAAAAGGTACACATTAGACTTCATTTCAGTTCCATCCCCCTCGAACTTTACATAGGTCTTTTAATACCTCAGGACCTGACCTTTCTAATTCTAACTGTCTGAATAAGACATTCAGGTGACAGTCAGTGGCATTATCCAATCAGTCAGCTGATCTAACAAAGTACTTAATGCAATGTAACTGTTTAGGAGATATTTTTCCCTTGGCTTTCAGCCTTCCTGAGTCTCCTAATGTCTGAGTTGATTAAATAATTTAGCAGCTTGCGTACAATGAAATGCATAGTGTGACGCTTACCAGGGAGCTGAACAGAGATGTCTGCTAAATGCTTGTGACTACCACTACGGCTGACTCAGCACAGTTCCCCAGGCAGCAGTACAAGGCAAATATGCCCTTCAGGTCTTGGTTTTAAAAACTCAGCTAACAAATGGCCTGTCCCTCCCTGTGCCGCTGGCAACCTTGTTGATTACTGCAGAGCCCTGGTGGCTAGGAAGCTTGTACTGGGACACTCATGCTGAAAGTCAGGCTCAACTGCTTTGCTGTCTCAGCAAAACTCAAGCCACCCCTAAAATGAAGGTGAATAGGGCCCATTGTCAGTAGTTGTGACTGACCACCAACTCTCCACAGAAGGAATGGGAAGGTCTATGTGCTCAGCCCTTGTGAACGCCCAGCCCCATTGTACTAATTGTACATGTTCAGATAAGTCTCATTGACCATTGCCAGCTGAGACAATTCTTGGGGCAGACCAAAACCAGCTGAGTGCAGAGGTGTAATGAGGAGAGTTTGTTTCAGACATGTGCTCCAGAGAAATACAGACTGTTGTGTCAAGTCCTGGCCTCCCTGGCACAAGAAAGACATTGAGGAACCAGAGACGGCTTGGTGGAGTACCACTGCAATGGTCAGGGTGCTGGAGCACTTGCCCTACAAGGAGAGACTGAGGGAACAGGCTTCGTTAGACCTAAAGAAAGAAGGCTAAGTGGGATTTAACTGCAGTTTTCCACTACATAAAGGCAGTAAAGACAGAGCCAGGCTCTCCTCAAAGCTGCACAGAGGGAAAATGAGGCAATAGGCACAAGCTGCAACAAGGGAAATTCCAACTGTACAGAAGGAAAAAGTCTCCCCCGGCAGTGGTGCTGTACTGGAACAGTTGCCCAGAAAGGCTGTCAGACCTCCATCCCTGGAGACACTGAGAACTTTCCTCTGAGCTGCCTGATCTAGCTTTGGAGTTAGCCGTGCTGCAAACACGTTGTTGGACTAGAGACCTCTAGAGAGCCTTTGTAACCCCAAAAATTCTGCCTTTCCGCAGGACCTAGCTCCACTTCCCCTGGATTCAGCTATGCAACCTGCCACCTTTTAAATGCTTCTGTTTCTGAGTGGTCTGTCTTTCTAGGAGGGCTTTACACGGCACAGTAAATTCCAAGGTGCTACCCTGTTGTCTGGAAAGCTGTCTCCCAACGGAGATTATCTGACATGCTGAAGGTGGATCAGAGCAATCTCTTGGGCTAGATGCTGTATTTTCAAACTCTGGATCATGTTGAAGACACAACTTCAGCTTTTGGCATCTAATTCATGTTTCTTTCTTCCTGCTAGGGGCTTCCTCCATTTCTGGCGAACTTTGAATACTAAGACGCATGAGCAGCATGCTTTCAAACTCACTTTGTGCATCATAACATTATTTACAAGACTGGAAAAGCCAGTCCCTGGCAGTCTTCCCCACTACAGCCTTGAACTATGACCTTCATACTGTCAGCAGAGGAGACTCTTATCACTGGCTGGGCATTGCTAAGTATTGGACACAGCAGAAGGAGCACATGAGAAACCATCAGGAAGTTCAGATGATGCAGCCAGGCAGCCAGGACACAGTGCTCTGGATCTTTACAAGGCTTCCTGAGAGTCCAGTGGGGATGGGGACCATGCCCCAGGATCAGGCCTTTCATATGTACTGAGATTCTGCAATCAGATTCTGCGAGTACCCTCTTGAGAGGCCAGCGAGTAACATTTTTTCCTGCCCCTATCTGTTCCAAAGAAGTAGTGAGAACAATGCATTCTGGTTTTGAGAATTTCTTACGAAGATCACTTTTACAGCTATGTACGTATGTTTCAGAAAATACTTCATGCTATTAGTATCTATGTAATATTATTATTATAGTATTGATTTTATTACAATATAATACAATTGTATTACTAAGGATTATATTGCTTCATTTTAAGGTTTTATTCTCCCTGTTTTTATGACTGTGGAAACCACAGAATAAAAGGGAAAATGTCAACTCTGTGGAAACTTTGCTTTTCTTGTTCGGGACCTGGGCACACATCCTTACCTTGTAGTTCCACACTCTGGACTCCCAGCTGTTCATTGCAAACTGGGGGAACACAGTGAAAAAATCTCTGCTTGTCCAGCTGGAAGCACTGAGTTGAATGGTGAGGTAGGAGATATTGAAAGCTCTGAGATATCTCTACAGGCAGAAGTCAAAAAGAAGATACAGGTGTGATGGGGCTTGTAGCAGTTTCCAGTTTGCACTGCAAATAATGCAAAACATGTGAATGAATCATGTTGGGAGCTCCATGTTTCATGATTCCCAACCTCTCCAAGCAGGAGGCCCATTGTGTGATTCCCACTGGGGAATGTGCTGCTGCTGGGATCTGCAACATGCAGGCACAAATGATTATTTGAAGAATAAGGCAGGGGCTGGTGGGAACCATGACTGTCTCTTCTAGTTGATTAATGCTTATAGCATCCTTTGGCCATGCCAAAGTCTCCAGATGTTTAGCAGACAGTCAAGACAGGCAGAAAAGTTGCAGGCTGAGGAAGCAGCTCCAGCCCCTGCTGTCTGAGAGAGTATCTAAAGCTGAGCACAGCTGGCTGAGGAGTGTCTCCTATGTTAACCAAACAAAATTACTCCAAGCAATGTATAGCATGGCTGAGGTTTTCTCCCCCCATCCAGGTTCTCAGGCTGGATGTCACATGCCTTCTTTCTGGCCATTCTAGTGTTAACTCTTTGTTTCCTTAGGGAGAAATCAGTTGATCAACATGTGGTTGAGTATACCGGGGTCCATAACCACTCAGCAATGTAATTTGTAAGTTACTGGTCTGCTGTGGAATGTGGGAACTGGATTTGAGCCTGGTCAACATATGTATCTTCAAACAACATCTTCATTTGTATCTTGCTTTGAAACTTCCTTATGCTACAGAAATTAGCTGAGTCCCATCTGAGAATCTAGAAAGTACAACAGCACAAAGCTATACAACAACATGTAGTGTCCATGGCCAGCACAAAATGGAAACCCTAAGTGTTAAGAAAATCTGCAAGACCTGAAGACTGATCCATGTCTCTTGCCATAAATACTTAAGCATCATAGAATCTTGCTCAGAGCTTAGCATCACACAGAGAAGGCTTTACCCATAGCAGTGTGGAAATTACTGACACATTGCTAGTTCACATGAAATAATCTAAAAATGCTGGCAGGTGTCGCTATGGTTCTGATCCTTAGAATAACTATGCATTCAGACTTTGACCTTGGAAAGGTCAGAGCTCAGTGTACCTAAAACTGTAACTCTCTGGAGGAAGATGGCAGGTTGGATGGCCCAGGTCTTTGGAGCAGGATGATGACATTGCCTGGAGATTAAATGGGATGTGAATTTGAATTAAGAGGGAAAGGTGGGTTGATGGGAGAGAATTCATTTGAGAAGACCCAAGAAAGAGAACAGGAGCCTTCTGTAAGTAGCACTAGGTGAAGGGGATTAGATGGTCCAGAAGCTAGGGCTGTGTCAACCACATTGTTCTACATGAGAAAGGACAAGTAGTCCAGTAAAGAATAATATATACCAGCCCAAAGTTGACCTTAATCTTATAACAGCAATATGGTGACCTGCTGCAAATTAATTGCTTTTTCATGCAGTATCATCTGAGGGTGAGTACAGACCCTGCTGTGAATCCTCCAATTTTGTTCCTGACAGTCCAAGGCTCATCTCAGTGAAGTATTACCATGAAATAGTTTTCCTGCAGGCAGGGTAGAGGGCAGTGCCTTTACTGCAGGACAGAGGAGTTATTCCCAGCACACCAAGAGGAAACCTATTCTTGCTTTGAACTTCAGCTAATACTCATCTGTTTAGCCCCAGGCCAGAGAACCTTGAATGAGGGTGGGGTGGTGGCCAAGGGAGAAAAGCAAGGGAGAAATAGGGATATACAGCAGAACGACAGAGGACAAAATGATCGATGAAGGAGGAAGAAAATGAGATCCCACTAGGTTCCTCAGTTTCATTTAACATGGGTCTCTGCAGCATTATCCGGTGAAGCTTCTCTCAGACAGATAGTGGAGTAGGTGTGATTCTTTTCAGGCAGTGAGGAATGCCTTGGGGATTAATAACAGTAGATCAGTGCTAGCAAGAATATGAGATGGGTATGCAACCTGGTGATTTTTGGACACACATCCTGGAAGCTGTTGGGCCTACTCCTGTTCCCTCATCCTATCTCAAAGGAATATTGGCAAGTGTCCACTGGCTCCTCGGGGAGCAGTGGGTGCCTGCACAGGGATGTGCTGTTTTATGTCCCTTTTCCAGCTCCCTGTAGCTACAGTTTTAACTCTCTGACTCTTACTCCCAAAACAAATGTTTTCATTTGTTGTCTCCTGTAATTATCTGGTTTCCTGTCCAGCTTCTTGTTTGTTTGTTCCTCCATCTCAGAAGGGCTAATCAGTCTTGCCAGAAGTCCCAAAAGAGAAACACAGCAACAACAGGTTCCTGAAAGTGAAATACTAGGGAAGGGAAGAACAAAGTGAGATGTAATACTTCTCACTTGACACACTCCCAGGCTCCAGCTCTCTTCAGCTCTTCCTGGGCCAAATGTGGTTTCTGAGTATTCAGTAGCCCTATCTGAAGCATAAGCAGCTGCACTGTTGTTCTGGGAGAGGAAATTAAGCAGGATCTTGGAGACAGCTGAAAGCAGAGACAGCATTTCATGGAGGCTGTAACAACTCCAGCTGCAGTGTGATCAGGGTCCCATGGCCCTGCCCCAGTACAAGTGAGTCTGGGTCAGAGGGGCGAACCAGAGATGTGCCCATTTGCTCAGCAGCAATCCTAGTCCATTAGGCAAGAACTTTGCAGTGGTGATGGTCCTGTAATGTGTGGGACTATCACTAAGGGAGCAAGAGGACACGTGATAAAGCAGAAATGATGAACAGGGCAGCGTGAGCTGCTCCACTCCTAGTGGAACCTGGACTCTGAAGCGAACAGTGTCACTGGCTGGTGCCCCCGCCTCCCCCAGTCACATCTGGCTGGGGATAGTCTCTCGCTACAGCTGAGCACCGGGGCGTACTGAGGCAGAGATCTCTGGCACCCCCATCCCTGTCATGGGTCACTGTTCTGCTACCGCTAGTGTCAGCTCGGGGCATTACCAAGTCATTCAGCTCCACAGAAGTGCCTGGATTAACTGAAGTACATGGACTTATTTTTATGAATTAGCCAGAGTGCATGGTTCTTCATGAAAGGCTCAGCCATTTCCTGCTCAAGGCAGGAGGACAAACTTTCTCTGGTCCATTTGGAAGCTTGCCAGTTCAAAGTCAGCCCAGTGAAGTTTTTTTACAGCAGTTTTAGCTGCCAGAGTGAACTTGCAATCTGCTGTGTCCCTGCTGTTCATCTACCAGTATGTAAGAGCCTAGAGGTGCGTCTACCACACTGCTAGCCTATAGAGGTAACCACAAAAGAGAGATGGTCTACTCTCATCTTCTTCTGTCCCTCTGGACTGGTAAAAACATTGTTCTAGCTTGTAGAGTAGGCTAGTTCTTAGCTGTGAATAATAACAAGATTATAGCATGGAGACATCAACATCCTCCCTGCCCTGGAACTTGGGTCCCACCTGTACTCACCCATGTGAGGAGACAGGCCCCTTCTAGACGGGCAGATTACCTCTCTCAACATTAGCCCCACACCTTTGAAAGTCGCATCAGTCCTTCAACTGGTATGCTTAATAATAATGATGACAACAGCAGCAGCAACAATGGTGTTTTAGTTATGTCTTATGTGGGTTTGGAAGCCTGAAGGGAAACTTGCCAATCACAAGTGTATGAGAGATTTAAAAGCCAAAGGCAGCCTTCAAAATACTTGCCATACTTTGGCACCTACCCTTCTGCCCTGACTTCTGCTCTTGCAGCAACCCACTTTCTCCTTCCCCTTCAGAGGCTCTGCTTATCCCTGCTGGTGTTGTCAGAACAAATGGGCTCTTCTGTGCCAAACCCCTCCACGTTTCTTCTGCAAACCAAATCTGATTTCTATTGCCGTGAGTATTTAATACATATGTGATTAAATAATGAAATTTCTTCTCATAGAAACAGCAAAGGGTCAGCACCAGGGGCAGGGGAAGCAAAAACTACTCGAGCTAGAGGACAATGTTGGACACGAATGCATGTAGGCTAAAAACCCCTGAAGGCGCAAGTAGCAGGGGACTGGACTCCATGACCCTGAAGCCCCTTTCTGTCCTGGTTTCCAAGTACCAGCATGCAGGAGAGGGAGAGAGAGCAAGCAGGGGGGAGACATGCTTTGAAAATCCCCCTTGTATTTGTAAGGTCCTGGAGCGTGTCTTTGCATTGTTTAGTGGTAATCTGTTTCTTATTATTGCAATGTGATATCC